CGGAATATAATAAAATTTGTGAATAAGTGAAATATCTTTTACACAGGAGAAAGTTTCGCAAAGGAGGAACAGTTTGTTGTTCGTGGGGTAAATACAAGTTTGTTCTGAATTCCAGAGGATTCTACAAAGTAGGTGAATGTTGATAATTTTCATTTCACAGCATTATCTCAACACAGCTTTTTGAACATTTCATTTATTTATAATCATTTGGAAATGTCCCATGCAAATAAATTGTTTGTTCCTGTTTTTTAGGGCTGCTTGCTGGTGCGGTTATGTAACAAGGATTTATTAGAGAAACATTTTGCCAAAGAAGTCATTTCTGAATCTGGAACTCGTAAACATCTACTCCAAAATGCAGTTCATTCCATATTTCCTCACGGTGCCACTAAGCACTCTTTGGAAGTTATCGATGACGATAATTACGAAGGACCTCCTAGGAAAATTGTTATCTTGGAAGGTAAGTACCATTTTGCATGTTCTTAGTACATATTTTTTTGAGGGATACGGATACCTATGTTGTGTACCAAGTTTACATATTGATTGTAATATCTTCTGCATTTCTAAATGATAATTTGTTATTTTCAGACATTACTAGTAACATCGTCATGCACTCAGAAACCATAATTTCTCCTCCAGCTGCTACAGATATGTCAGGTATGTTCTTATGAAACATGGGGAAAGAAAACAACAATATCAATTATTATTCTATGTGGGGTTATATTCATTTTCTTCAACTCATGTATTTCTTTACAAACATGTAAAGTACCAATTTAAAAAGAAATTAGGGTGAATCAAGAGTTTTATCAAGCATATATACCCTCACTATATCAATGAATTACATTACAGATTTTTTCCAGTCCCAGGTCAGAGTTCTTAACCTTATTCAAGTTGTATAGTCTCTCCAACAACTGGTATTCAAACACCAGAATTTTTGAGATGTGGAACTCCACGAAAGACGAAGTTGCGTGAGAAATTGAGAGCTATGACAAGGAAAAAATGGATGAAAACATCCAGTAATGAAAGATATCCGACTCTAGAGGACTTCCATGAGATGTATGACAAGTTTCTGAGTGAACCTTCATCAGGAATTGTCAAAACACAAGCCAAATTAAAGAAATTAAAACTATTAGCAAGAAGGTACTTCACCAAATACAAACAATTTGCATCAACACTTTATTTTTTGGGGCCTCGAGCATATCATTTCACGAGTAAATTTTTCTGTCTTCTAATGAAACGTTGTTTGGAACAATTAACTCAAAACCTCACATTTAAACCAGGTTTTCAAAATGAAGCAGTTTTCAAATCTCTGGAGATCAAATCACGAACCATATTGAATCAGGACAGGCCATACTGGTCATGATGAGATTGTTGAGCTACATGATATTGGAAATGGCAGAAAAGAAACGTTACTTGCTCGAAATGCTTGTGTTATTATGGTGAAAAGACTATATAATAATTGGAAGCAGCAAATAGCATATTTTTTGTGGTTACCCAGTTTTCTGCTGTAGAACTGCATTGTGTGATTGTGTGTATATCAAAATTGTTCACAGCTGGTTTCTATGTGGATGCACTTGTAAGTGATACGGGATCAAATTTTATTCAGTTATTTAATATTCTTGGTGTCACACCTAATAATTGTGAGTTTTGTGTTTTGATGAAGAGAAAACATCATGGTCCTTCATAGACATGTTTTTTCCGCAAGATAAAAAAGAAACCTATAGATGTGCACCTAAACTCACATCTTCACATATGTATCCTACAAATTTTGAAAAAATGATAGTCAAACTTGCTACCAAAGTTCTGAGTAACATAGTAGCTAGTGCAATGAATACTTATGTGAGTTTGGGGGCTTTTCCTGCAGATGGCATGGCAAAAATAGACGTAATTGAAAAATTTGATAAATTATTTGATTTATTGAATTCTTCTGACAATAATCACCCAAATGAATTCAAAAATGTTTTTTGATGGGTCTGATGGGATAAATATTGTGTTCTCAGAAAGAAATCTGCTCAGTTTGTAATTATTTTCCTTCCAAACCTGACAAAAATTGTTTAGTCTTCTCATTGGTGTTCGTCGAATGGCATTTATTAGTGATCTCTGGATTATTCTGTATTGTCAAATGCAAAAATCAATGCTTATTTATAATATAGCTATTGTTGAGGTCACTTGTACCAATGCTAACTAATAATCACGTCCTATTTTCAAATATTATTGTATATATTATATTGCACAAAACCACCTACTCATGATGTGAATTTCGTCAGTTTTTTGATGGAAGATTTTTTGTGATACTGATATACTTCACAAAACTTCATCAAAATTAATCCTCTCTGTGTATTTTCATGATGTCTGGTGATTGTATTCAATTGATTTTTTTATTTTGATTGAATTTATTTTTAAACTTTATCTTTCATTATTGTTGTTATTTTTTACTTGCTGAAAATATAATATGTAATGTAGTGGAATAAACATTTATATATCCCATATGTTATCGAAATGTGTCTATTGAAATCAATTTTATGTTGTTATTGACAATTACGTACCTATGCTCTGTTATTTGAATTCATTGAATGTAATGAATAAACAAGTCGGATTGTTTGATTTTTCAAACAAGTCTTCATATAAAAAGTCTCTTGTTTAAGAAGAATAGATGATCATAATTTAGGAAAACCTAAAGTTTATGTTTACCAGTTATTGGGTGACAAGGTAGCCTGCTACGCGATGTTTTTGAACAAGATAATTAAATTTACAATAGGGTTGCCGAAAATCAAAAACACCACCAACATGCCCGACTAGGTCAGTGGTTTGCACAAAGTCGTGGGTGCAACTAATTAAAAGAAAAACAATGATTTTTAACTAAATGGGGAAGCGCCACCAATTTTTGTTGGCCAGTTAAAAATCGGAAAACTGCCCAGTTTTTGGGGAAGCCCACTATTGAAATATTTAACTTCTCATAAAAGTAATAATTCTATTTGCAATGACTAAGGAAGTTTATTACAATAATAAAAAGAAGAAATACAGTGACCCTTCTGTTTGCCGATTACTCACTTCAATTGCTAGATTACCACTATCATAATACATTCGCTAATATGTGCTAATATGTGACGTCACGTAAAAGCTTACACCACTCCTCTCAATGAGGTAACTTGTACATTTTATTATAGGAAATAAATAAACACCGGGTTCTTTATTCAAATAACTTAGTCTAAACTTAGCTGCTTTTCGGGTGCTCCTTTTTCGTAAGCTGCCAGGGAATGAATACTGATCCGGCAGTATCGGTGGATACGGATNATTACTCACTTCAATTGCTAGATTACCACTATCATAATACATTCGCTAATATGTGCTAATATGTGACGTCACGTAAAAGCTTACACCACTCCTCTCAATGAGGTAACTTGTACATTTTATTATAGGAAATAAATAAACACCGGGTTCTTTATTCAAATAACTTAGTCTAAACTTAGCTGCTTTTCGGGTGCTCCTTTTTCGTAAGCTGCCAGGGAATGAATACTGATCCGGCAGTATCGGTGGATACGGATGTAGTAGGAATCTGTTAATATTCCCAGTGGTAATTATTAGTAAAGGTAACGATCAGGAAACTTCTTCAAGAGACTGATCTGGCAATCGATTTCAATTTCCCAAATTCAAGCTGATGCAAATACGCCTTTCTTAGGAATATTCTAACACCCTGAAGAAAAATATTCTCATGACAACATCGTAATCAAAAGGTAAGAAAAATAAGGACAAAATTTATTATGAGTTCCATAGCTGAGTTGAACAAGGTTGTTTGAAAATACTGTACTAACCTCCTAATAATCGAGGGTGTTTCCAACACAAAACAGACAAAGATCGTCCTCTGAGAATTGAGAGAAAATACTGACTATTTGCCCTTTTTATAAAAATCCTGCTTTTGCAGCGGTGGTTTCCAATATTGTCCCAAAATACTCCAAACTTCACAATATCAAAAAGGAACCACAGTTGGCTGAAAATTCGAAAATCCCTTCTAGGTAGTTAACGAGCGAAATAATTCAACCAAGCAATCAGTTCATTCAGCAATTCACGATCGAAAAATATCTTTTCGCCAAAATTTCCGTCCTTATCCTTATGTCCTTGGGTGTGAGAAAAAAAGGAACACAACCTATTTACCGACCTAGTCGGTGTCATAGGCAGGTTAGAAAGGTTTTAAATATACATAAATTCGCATGTGGAAATGAATAAACTAACCGATTATTAAAAGTATAAATAAATTGTTTAATTTATAACAAAGCAAAATTGTATCGTAACAAGCCTGCTTGCTATTTGTATTGTTCGTTCATCTATAAAATTTATCTCAACCAATAAGAAGTGTAATTTTTGTAATGTTCAAAATGGTTGAAAATTATCCTAATTTTTACCAAATTTCACTATTGAACTCAATTGATGATATCTTTTATGTCTGTAATCAAATTTGTCAATATGCGAGTTTCTTCATTTCATTATAATGTACCACAAAAATAACATCACTTTTTCTGTGAATATCGAAAGCATGTTTTTTCAGTGTACATTAAGAGAAAATCGTTGAAATCAATTAAACCTTTTTCTCCGTGTATATCGAGGTGGTATACACATCATATTCAAGGTTACGAATTTTGAGCCATCGAAAATCAAAGGCGGCATCAAAGCTTTCGCATCTTTATTCAATCTGTGGTATCATCTTGAGTAGGTAGATTATTTTCAACGCTTTCGCTATGGATAAGAGGAGAATTCATTCCTCATCATTAAATCATATGATTTTGTGAAAAACTGGTATGAAAATGTCTATTACATTATGGTCAATGGATCTTTATACATGTGTCATAAATTTGTGCATACGACAACTCGTTAGGTATTGATGTCCCATGTGTAATGAATCGTTGCCCCAAGTGTATGAAGGTTACTGAAATGAATCATTCCAAAATATGATATTATTAATCACATTAATTCCCGACATACTACATGAAACATTGAATTTATATTACCCTCTCTCCGTTAGCGTTCATGTGCGCTCCCGGACCTCCTGTGACGTTGACAAGCGTCGTAACAAGCCCCGCTACCCTGACGGCTTCCACATTTGCCTTAGTTAGGTCCCTGTGTAGTTTTCGTAAATGAAACAGGGTCAGAAAGACGCATACCAAGTTAACTGCTATCCAGAGGGCATTGAGGATGTAGTGCCTTAACGGTCCATGAATGAGAGGACAAGAAGGTGCTTTGTGGCCTCCTTCGCCTTGTGCTGCTAATGCACCTGAAGAAGAATGAAAACATTTTGACATGCATTTTGAACAAAAAATTCTGAGAACATTTTTTCCAAAGTTGATTATTTCATAGAACGTCAAAGCTACATTTCAATGTTGTTATCAGTTGTTCACAAATAATTAACAATCTGAAAATCGTTGAACCTGGGATAATCTACTTTGAAATTGAATGAAAAATATTTTGTTCTGTGAGAATCCCATTGATAAATAAGGGTTCTGCAGATATTTGAAATACAGAGTGTCATTTAAAAAACGTATTGCTCTAAATATTTCAGCCTTATACAAAATGAAAAACGTCAACCTTTTTTTTTCAAGGGAGTTATTTGGTAGGCTGATTTTGACCTTTCAGTGCCATCAATATGAATCAAGTCGTATATGTATTATATGGAGCCTTTATAGATATGCACAAGCACTGCATAAAAGTGCTGGGTTCGGGGCCTGTGGGAAATTAGCTAGTAACGTTGGATTCAAATTACTGTAGGTTATATTCATTCGGAAAAAATCATCTGAAGTAGGTCTAATTTGAGCTTTATGAAGAATTGAAAGTTGCTAGATGTGTACACCTTTCTGGTTCGTAATAAAGTACCATGTTTCGAAAAATTTGACTTTGCTAAACTAGTAACGTGATTGTGCCAAGATTCTTTGGTATCCAGTTCGACAGCCAACAAATTTATCAACGCAACTAACGGAATTTTGTGCCCTGATATTATGATGTCCGGTATTCTTTCTGTCAACCCAAAATGAAATTTTCTTCAGATTATCATCGAGATATGAAACTCCAATAGTGCGCTGTTTACAGATTTCTTCAATAAATATTTAATGTATAATAGATATAAAAATGGTTGGAGACAATATGAAACCCTGTGAAACACCAACGTTGATAGTGAAGGTATCAGAAAGAGAATCAGCAGTTTCAGTTTAAAAGAAACTTCATTTCAAAATGCTGAAAAGCCTCGAACAAAGACGATTTGATGAGCCATAACATCGAAACTTAATGAGTAAACCAGACACGGTCAAAGGTCTTGCAAATACCGATTGCAACAACAGAAAAATCTTCGTCTTCCTCGATTAAACCATGTCAAATGTGGGTCATGTCTGAAAAGGTCGCCTGTAGATCTTCGCTTCTGGAAATCTTACTGATGATCGGTTAAGATATAAAAATATACCAAATATTTGAGATTGTAATTATTGATAGTCTCAATTTTTTTGACAAATTTTTGTCTTTTTTGGGAACATATTGGTCTCGAACAGTTTTCTGATTCTAACCTAACGAAATATTAGGTCAAAAACAACTTTACGCCGCTTGTAAAAAATAAAAATGTCCCTCTGATATAATTGAATTCCCATGGTATTGACTGGTTGAAAACAAAACATGGGACAGAAGCATTTATATAGTGTGACCTACTTGAAAGCGGGACACCTCCCTGAAATTTGTATCTTTTTTCCGATTTCGAAAAAGTTTATTTTGAATTGTAGAAACCAAAAAACTGTACTTTGGTACTGAATATCATTTTCTTTCCTGCTGAGAATTTTTATGGATTGAAATACAAGAAATCATGACAAAATGGTTTAGACTTTCACGGCTGAGGTTTTCAGTGTCATTTATTTTTGAGTTTGGAAGCCGTGGACTTTTGGAATTTCTTCCTGACGTTTCGCTGGCGCGAGTGGCTAGCTTCTTCAGAGGTTTAACCATCATGGCTTGCTGTCCGATGACTCATCTTACAGTCATCGGATAGCAAGCCATGATGGTTAAACCTCTGAAAAAGCTAGCCACTCGCGCCAGCGAAACGTCAGGAAGAAATTCCAAAAATCCACGGCTTTCAAACTCAAAAAGGAATGAAACTGACAAGAAAACGTGTTAGAGATTTTTTAAGGAAAAATTTTAAAGCACCATTGGACCGAGTACCCTCTATTATGGTATACCAAATTTTAACAAAAAATATTCGATAATAGTTCTGTGGTCAAATCAACATTTACATTATATCATGATAGAATGTTAACTGCACAGCTTTTAAAGGGTTTTTAAATCTTCGTGACTTTTACGTGAAAAACTGTGCAGATATGCAAAATCGCGCTCTTTTTATTTGGTACTGGAAGCAAAAAACTATTTATTGTTGCTACTGGTAAAAACTGTATTGAAACGGTGACGTCAGATTATGCCCGATTAGTAAAAAAAATATTAGGTGAGAATTAGTGATTTATCATGGAAGAACTAAGTGTGCGAGATGAAGTTGACTTTATGCGCCTTGTCGAAGATAATGCTCTTTCGGCAAGAGAAGCTGCCAGAGAATTTCGTAACACTCATTCTGATAAACTTTCAGTGAGTAGCAGTACGGTGAAGCATTCTGTTTTTAAGGAAACATGCTGTGTATCGAGGTATATACACAAAAACAGAAACAAAATACGTTGTGAAAATAGAAATGGGGTGCTAATATTTTCGTAATAATCCGCATTCAAGCTTGCGAACGGCTAGTTTGAACTTTAATATCCCTTGTAAAAAATAAAATTGAACAGTTCTATCCATGAATGTTACACACTCTGGAACCGAGAGATAAAGAAAGGAGGTTAGAATTCTGTTTGTGGACTCGAAGAAAATATTTGAATGACTGTATAAACTTCTTTAAAACAATTTTGTTCAGTGATGAAGCTATGTTCACAACAAATGGAGAAGTATTGTCCCAAAATCCAAAGTACTGGTCTGCGGATAATTTTAATTGGGTTACGAACGCAAAAAAGTAATATTTCCAAAATATAAATGGAACTATATTTTCAGACTTTTTGAGAAATGAGTTTCGGGACGCAATACGTAACTTACCAGTGCAGGATCGCCTGAATTTGAAGTTTCAATAAGATGAGTGTTCTGTACATGATACAGTTAATTCAAGAGAATGGCTAAATAATAATTATGGAAATCGATGGATGTCGAAATAGTCCTTGCATTGAGTGGTCGTCAAGATCACCGGATCTGACCCCGCTAGATTTTTTTGGGGTACTGTGGAGCAGAAAGTCCAGACCACAGTCAGTAGAAAAACTACTCATCAGAATATCTGCAGTTTGTGTAGAAATTACAACAGAACAACTGTGAATTTCAGAAAAAAGTATGACAAGTACATTGCAATGAATAGCAGATTGATTGAAACAACAAAAATTTGATGAACGTTCATTCCTGTTTTGGTCTACAATAATTTGTCGAATATTGTTTTTCAATTGTTCAATTTGTCAAATGAATAATCGATCAGAATTAATATGTTCTTTCGTTTATTTAATTTGTCACATACTTATCAACGATTACTCAATGATTATTTTACTTTTCAATCCACCAGGTACTTGAAATGATTTATAATAAAAATTTCTTTGATTCGACTACATAATTATTTTTATTGAATATTTTTTATGAAATTTGGTATACTACCATTCAAGCGTGTGCCCAGTCCCATGGTAATTCTGAATTTTTCCAGAAAAACTATGGAAGTATTTGCAGCAGGCCTTGGTTTTTGTAAAAAAATGATATTCGGCCCCAAAGTACAGTGTTTTGAGCTCTACATTTCAAAATAAAGTTCTTCGAAATCGAAGAAAAGATGCAAATTTTAGAGAGGTGTCTCGCTTTCAAGTATATTGTGTGACCCATATTTCACTTTACAGCTAGCTACTGGTTTTGTCAATACACACACATCTACTGGACAAAAGTTTATGCTAACGGAAAAGGTGGAAAATCTGATGAGTATGCTAGACAAGAATCATCAACTTCGTATATAGACACTGAACCACCCGTGAGAATACGAGGAACATATCAGAAAATGAGTTTATAAGAACCGCGAAAAATCATGTAGAAATATACTTGCGAACACGCCCGGGAAAACCTTAATAAAAACATAAAACAATTGAAGAACTGCTCCAAAAGAGATGAAATATGGATATTTTAACTGTCAATAGTGCAATGAAGGCACAGAGACAGGTCGTTATAGTTTATGCATATATAATACATTGGATGGGAGGAGGCAAACAATCATCTTCAGAAGAATATGACAAATAAAATCAAGACAGAATCTATACAAATCAACTTTGGCGGCTTCCAAGCAGCAGCATGAAAAATCGAATGACCTTAACTCAAAACTTCGCTCATCGATTTTTTCAACAAATGCAAATAAATTTTCATTCAAGTGAGTGATTTGCCCAGAATATAATGAATGAGTGACTAAGACAGAAAAAAGTTCATCTATATTGAGAGAAAATCTGTAATTATTATCATGAACAGTAGGAGAAATATAATCACACCTACCCGATAAGAACGTCGGTCCCAAGTTGATGGTTATCGACGCGAACCAGATCATGAAAGTGCCAAATAACACACATTGGGGTGAGTCCATCAGTAGAGGGACGTCGGACATGGCGCTGACGTCAGAATCGTCATCGTCTGGAAAAACTGGAGAGTCGTTTAAAACGGTGGTGAGCATGTTAACGGTTGCGACGGTGACGAGTAGCAGAAAAGCGGTTTCGACGAGCGAACACTTCTGTACTGGTTGGCAGTGGAATATGGATATGCCTAGTGGGAGGAGAAGGGCGGCTCGGGCGCAATCGACAGCTCCTTGGTGGAAGAGAAGTCCTTGGGACCACCTAGAATGAAAGCAGGGTTGTTTGATATAGGGGAAAATACAGAATTTTGAGATTGAAGTATTCGAGAAGAGTCCAAATTTTCACTTTTTGATGTCTTGAATGTAATAAAATTGTAATGATATATTTTGGAATAATTCAATAAATACATTTTGTTACTGTTATTAGGTATTTAACCTTCCACGATATGAAAAATCAACAAATGCCCGAACGGTAGGGTTTGCTAAAGTGTAATGAAGGGTAAATTGAAAAGCTCTCCTCTAATAGTTACCGCCTATTATAAAGTACAGTCAGTAACGTATTCACAAATCATTCCATCAGTTCGATTTTTCATTCATTAGTTGGACATTTGTCAAAAGAAATATATCTGTTATCGTCTGAGGTGTTTTCACAAATGATTTTTTTACAGTTTGAGAACATGAAGGGATTATTTTCTGAAGTATCAATTATCTTTAAAAGTTCAGTAACTATATAAATTCCAATTTTTCCATAGATTATTGTATTCATAGGAAAAATTTGTGAGATATATATTCATTGCACTCTCCAATATTTCCTAATATGCAGTTACTTTTCGGGGTAAATTTTTCAGTGTGTCCTTTAATAAACAAATTCACTGTCAATTCAGTTGTTTGAAATTTTGGAAGGTTACATATACAAGAAAAGATGAACTTCAACTTTTTTTTTGTCTCCGGAAAAATAATTTATGATTGGTCTTTTATTTTATAATGAAATTATTTTTCACGTCACTTTGGGTACCTATTTCATACCTACTTCATATCAAAATGAAGTAGTTGTATATATACATTTACGTTCAGAAGACCTTAATCTGTCTTTGTCTTCAGAATTGAAAAACCAGTTCTCTCCCCTATATTCCTTCTTTAATATCTTGATCATGGTAATAATCATTTAAGACTAAGAAACATTGAAATACATGTTTTCTGGAAGAAAAATATATTTAATTTACGCATTCAATTATCGGGTTGAACTCGAAATTTGCCTTTTTTATACCCAGGAAATGTTATTTTGTTTTTGACATCATTCTAGGTGAAACATTTCCGAAATAAGAAATAGTAATTTCTAACACAAAAAATGGATTGGTACTTAAACGATCTTGTACTGATTTGGATCACAAATTCTCTCAAGATTTCCATATATTACTATAACTTTATCATGTAGAATAATCATATTATTATTCCAAAGTCGTTTCTGATCGACAGTTAGTTAAGGTTATATATCTATATTGAATTTGTATATACCTTTAAAATTTTCCCATTGCGGTCGAGAGAGCTGATGTTTGTGATGTTTTCTTGAAATTGGGATATTCCCAAGAAGGAGATTGTATATGAAATAATAAAGTTGAGGGAACGGAATGATTTTACACCTAATGAAATTTCTGCTTAAATGAGTTTTTCCTGAAATAAAAATCAGGGGCCAAAAAATATTCAAAATACTCAGCAACAGTTATGCAAACTATATTCAGGCAATTAGTTAGTTCGAATTAACCATCACTGAAATGTTATTCATGACTATTCTACAGTATTTTACAAACACAAAAACGCGATATTGATGAGTCCCGGCAAAGGATTCTTATTCTTTCTCATTTGGATTTCTTTCCGAATTGTGGTACTGAAATTGTTCAGCTTTTTTTTGTCTCCTCAGCTTATCAGAGTCTCAACTATGACTTTAATCTCAGTTCTATACGAATATAAGGGCCCCTAAAAAAATAATTCAATTTTATTAGTTTTTTTTCATAACGAAGAATTTTCTAACCCAATTCGTGATAGCCTAATCAACAACAGCGCTAGACCGTAATATGTAATTTCATGAAATTTCGAGCTCTATTCACTAACGTTCGCCTTATAGCTGATATGGTCGACAAGAGGTTTCCAATTACCGTTCACAAAGGAAAAACCCATCTCGGTCTCTTTCCTATGAAGCAAAGTCAATAAAACGACTCATCGGAGAGAAATATTGGGCAAGAGTTCGTTAACGAATAACTGCGAACAAATACTGGCACGGATAACGAGATTTGCCAGCTAATATTTTGTCTACTTTTAAATTGATTGCGAAGGCTCCCAGCCATTGGTAAAAACTTTGGAGATTTTAGAAAGGCGGGATTTTTTTTACTGTAAAATGTTTCATAATATTATGGTGGGTTTATAGTATTGATCCGTTTCAGTTTCTCTCAAATGATAATAATAACAATCACATGGCACGTTATGGAATGCCAGTAGCAACAACAACATTTAGGTAATGAGGTTTTGAATTGGAATCGTGCTAATCAATTTTGAAAAATATCTTCAACACAATAGTATATTGGATTATTGTGTTAATTTTTAAAATATATTCTGAAAAGTTATTGAGTTCATTTTTGCTCGAATAAGATTGAAGTAACAAAAAAATATTTCATATTCCACTCTTTTTTTGAAAATGCAGTATTATATCTTATGTGATGGGCAAAACTCATAAATCGAAATTACTGACTAAATGGGCTTCTTCAATGGAAGTTCATGTTATGTATATTTGTTGAACTAGATTTCTTCATTTTTACAATAACTATCAAAGGTTGAATATTGATTTTTCTGAAAGAAAATCTTTCGAATAATATTGTGAGCTGAGTGTGAAAATTATAAGAGTGCGAAAATATATGCTTGCGCAAAAAATTACCACCCTCATGCTCTTTATTCTACTTGACTACTATATTCTGCATATGGTGTCCAATATTGTTAAATTGTGGACATTGGAGTTTCAACTCATTTTTGGAATGCACAAATTGACTAAATTTTAATAAAAACTTTTGGCAATACATTTATTGCGTTCACGTGCGACCCCCTTGAAAATCACTCATTTCTCCAGACTAACCGTATTCAGTATTTTTTAATATCGATTAATCTTAGGATTCCCAACGAAACAAACAACCCTTCAAATAACAGCTCAATCTATTTTCCGCTGTCACTATTTTTGAAATGCACAAATTGACAAAATTTTAATAAAAACTTCTGGCAATACATTTATTGCGTTCACGTGCGACCCCCTTGAAAATCACTCATTTCTCCAGACTAACCGTATTCAGTATTTTTTTTAATATCGATCAATCTTAGGATTCTCAACAAAACAAACAACCCTTCAAATAACAGCTCAATCTATTTTCCGCTGTCCTTCTGTTCCGAATGATAGGTCTCCATTTCTATGTTCCTGTTTCGATTTTCGCATTCCCTTTTCGGTTAATTGGGAGCAAAAGCTACTCCGTTTCTTATTCTCGTAACTCTTGGGAGTGGAGTCTCTAGTTTGATAATTTTGTTTCGATATTCAATTTTTTTTATTTCCTGAATGATATGAATCTCATAATTTCTTAAGTCTAAAAACATCAACGTTTCATCACTAATTTTTTGTGAAATTATTATAGGTTTCGAAAGTGTTGAAAGATTGTTTTCATTGGTGTTTTGAGGCAGCAATTCCTAAATCCACAAGAAATAAAATATACCGAGAGAAAAATAACAGAATCACCCTTTCCACTTTATCAAATAGAAAAATTGATTATCTCAAGCACATGAATCACCTGAGGGAACAGGAAAGCTCGGAAAATAGTAACACCGCTTATAAAATGCGAAGAAATACGTCAGGAAAAAATTAATCATTTCATGAAAAAGGTCAGGATTCTACCAATTAAACCAAAACTCTCTGGAATAATAAAAAACAACCACATAAAAATAATAAAAACAAATGTATAGTAATAAGTCATAATGACAAATTAATCAGTAGAGAAGAAGAATTCGTAGTTATATTCGGAGAATCAGGACACATTTCCCAGGGAAAGATTCAGAAAGTTGTACCACAATGCCAAATGTTAATGTAACCATGTTTTTTTAACCAGTCACTACGGATGAAGTAAATAATGTTATAGCATCGTTAGACAATGAGAAAAACACAGGGCATGATGAAGTATCCACAAGAATAATCATAGAATGTGTGGATATATCATCTGAAGTTATAGGACACATATTAAACTTGTGTATTTCCTTTGGACAATACCCTGACCTGTTTAAAATTGTGGTCCTTGTCCCTATACTTAAAAATGGTGACAGTAAAAATATCGAGAAATATCGTCTCATATCAATAATCAGTATATTCTCAAAAATTGAATAAAAAATATCTGGCAGGATAAATGATTACTTGGAAACATTCGATCTAATGACAAAGTGTCAACACAGGTTCAGGAAAAATCGCTCGATAGAAACTGCAACGTTCAACTTCGTACTAGAAGTACATGATTTAATGGATAGAATAAAACATTGTATTAGGTTTATTACACTTTGAATATTAAATTCGTATCAGATAAGCTATTCAAGATTAGTATTCGAGGAAATATAAACCGGCTCATAATGTATTTCCTAACAAATAGATATTTTCAGATGAAACTCAATGATATAATATCTGATGAATTCCATGTAACATATGGTTCACCTCAAGGCAGTGTACTCGGTCCAATAATTTTTCGGTTATATGTGAATGATCTACCTAATAATGTAAGTAATGTAGCAATATACCTTTACGCAAACGACACTTCCATTATTCTTCCAAGTAAAACAACGGAAGGAATGCATAACCTTGTAAACTCAGTCCTACACGCATTTGATGACTGGTGTTACAGAAATAGACTTATAGTTAACCTGAGAAAAACAGTCTGCAGATAATTTACAAATTAATGTTGAAGCCTACATGATTTCATTTTCATCTTCCGGAATGGATCCTTGGCGCATTAACAAGCTCATCGAAATTCCTAGGAACAATAATTGACTCACATTTCACTTGGCGGTAGCATATAGAGTTCACATCCAAGAATTTGAATCAATCAAATTATCTCATTAAATCCCTTAAGAATAAATTAGATACTAAAGCATTGACATCAGTTCATTTCGCCAAGTTTCAATCCATTATTCACAACAACATTGCTGTCTGGGGTTTAGCAATTGGGGAGGACATAATTTTCATAAAACAGAAAGCATTACTGAGGCTAATTTTCAATCTAGAC